TATGTATGTATGTATGTATGTATGTATGTATGTATGTATGTATGTATATAAGCAACTTTGAATAAAAATTAGATTTTTGAGCCCATACAATGGCTCAACAGATGAAGGCATTTACAACCAAGCCTGATGACCTGAGTGTGACCCTTGAAACCCACATGGTAGCAGAACCAAAAGAACCCACTCCTGCAAGTTGTTCTTTGACCCTGTCATGTGCATTATGGCATGCAAACACTCACACACATAATAAATACATATAGTTAAAAGTTTCTACTTGCATATATTTATTGTAAATAGTTTGTAGATTTTCCTACTGTCATTTTGGGGCTTCAGACTTTGCAGTTCATATTACTATCATATATTCTTTGCATAATAAAAAATGTATTTAAGGGGAATCTTCTACTATTATGAGGCCTGAATTTTGTGTTCCTTGTAAACTATATTGTTGATTATTTAATCAGAAACATAAATGTGCTACAAGTGACCTTTTGAATTTTCAGATGCAGACCGTTTTCAGAAACATGGGATGGATGAGTTTATTTCTGCTAGTCCCTGCAAGCTTGACCATGCCTCCCTCTTCAGAATTCTCCAGAGACAGACTTTGGATCACAGACTCAATGATTCATATTCCTGTTTGGTGGGTATAAATCTGTCTCTCTGGTTGCCTATAGGTTAGAATAAAAGATTTAAGAAAGTGAGAAATAGTTGCTGTAAAACATCATTTTATTCCTGACTCATTTAATCACTGTTGTTGGGGTTAGGGATAAAGAATCCCAATCGATTGCTTCTCAATTTGAAAATTATACACACTTGAAGACCACTGCTGTGTCACTCAATAGACAGGAGAATAGAGTGGAATAGATGCTGAACTGCTTTATCAGTGCCCCAAGAGAATGCTGAGTGAAAAGAGAAGGCCTTACATAAAGATGTAAAACTTCTGCTGTAGGACTCACCAATACCTGCACAGACATTTTAAAATTTCTACTCATCTGGCATTGCTATCTTCCATTGTCTCTTTGTATCCTAGGACAATATAAGTGACCAGGGGAGAAACAGAAATATCAGCAACAGGACAAGAGCGACAGATGGAGAAGGACAGAGAACAGAGGGACAGAAGGGTAGAAACATAGGTGATTTAGATAGATAACTGCTTCCTGCTATGTGTTGAATGGACAACTAACTTTTGATGTTATAATTTATATTATAAATTATAGAGTCTAGGGATTACAGGGTAACAGCTATTGTTGGAAATGGCATTTCTTATCACTACTTGATTTTAATAGATACTAAGGATAATAACTTCATAGAATAAGTTACATTCTCTTTGCTGTCAGCTCTCAGACACTGTGTTCTCAAGTCTCTGGAGTTATCTAGTAGGCATGAAGAAATGAATCAACTGCTATCCTTACACTGATAATTTATCAACTTGTTTGTGAGTCTGAGAATAGAGTTGGAGTTGGTGGACACCTTTAATCCCAGCACTTAGAATTTAGAGGAAGGCAAATTTGACAGGACTCTGTGAGTTCAAGGCCATCCTGATATATACAGAGAGTTTCAGGGCAGCCAAGGCTAAATAGTGAGGGTTTGTCTTAAAAAATATAAATAAATCAAGGAGAAAGGAATGGAGGGACAAAGGAATGAAGGGAGAAAAAGAAATGAGGAGAAAAGAGGAATGGAAAGGAAATAAGGTCTGAAAAAAAATGCTACCATGTGTCTTGTATATACTGAGGGGAATGTGATGTGATCAGGAACAGTGCTTAGACATAGAATGGGCCCACCTGTCAATCAGGACTCACTAAATAATTTCCTCTGTGGTCCTGGACAATTCTGTTCACATTTCTGGTGTCAGCTAAGTCATAATATGTACCATGTGTGACAGTTGTAAATATCAGAGACCCAGGGTTTGTCATGAGGCTGGTACATCAAGTGCTTTCCCTTGTAATGTGGCTGCTCCATTGCGTGGCTTCCCTGTCCCCACAGGAGGGTTGGGAAGACACCCCTTTCCTTCCCTTTCCCTAGTACCTCCTCCTGTCATATCCCTGTCCCTCTCTTTCTTAACAGTTCTTATGTTATCCTTTAAATAATTATCCTTTTAAAACCCTTTATCTTCTCTTTATCATTTTATTCTAATACATGTAAACAAGTTTGTCATGATATTTTATGAAATTGCTCTACCTAACCTACCCTCCAGCATTACTCAAAACTGGCTGTTTGATTTCAGTCAGCATCGTACTTCAGAGGAAGAAACCACTACAGGAAAATGCTAACCCTCTTACAGTCACAGAAGGGCAGAGTCGGAAAGATATTCTAGACGTAAGCATGCAAATGCACACCGCTGGTAGAGTTACTGAGATTTGCTTTTTAGTTTGGGTTATAAAATGCATCCAGTGAATGGTCAGTTTCAGTGCTGGTGTCTACTTTGTTAACTGGCTCATAAAGAAGTCAGATTTTAGGAAGTATCACTCTTCGTCATTGACAAATGTAAATAAATCTTGTGAATACAATTTGACTAGTTTTGCATGGCAGTAGAGAAGGGCAAGGTGCCCATGATACATTGTCACAAAGATTGCCAGTGCCTCAAGTCACTCCCAAAACTGATGACATTCCTTCGGAAAATAACATTTAAAATTGCCACTAACAAAGCAAATGACAAGAGACATGCTGCTGCTGCTGCTGCTGCTGCTGCTAACAGCGCCTGAATATGCTTAACAGAAAAGCAAATCCTCAAACGAGAAAACGTGTCTGTTTTCTTTTCTCCCGCAGGGGTGGTTCAGCCCTGGGCAAGTGTTTGTGTTGGATGAGTACTGCGCCCGGTACGGCGTGAGAGGCTGCCACAGGCATCTCTGCTACCTTACAGAGCTGATGGAGCACTCAGAAAACGGTGCTGTCATCGACCCCACCCTGCTGCATTACAGCTTTGCCTTCTGTGCCTCTCACGTGCACGGCAACAGGTATTTTTGGCTTGCAAATACGCAGTGAAATGTATAGGGTTGCCTGGAAGACAGAGAGTATGTGCTCTGCCATTATCACCTAGTAACGGATTGTAAATAGCAGGTACTTCTTCGGAGGGAAAAAAAAAATCACACAAAGGGAAAATGTACATCAATACACTGTTGATTTAGGTGAGCTGCACTTTATGTTTCTTTTTGCTGGCAAAACCACTTGAAAAAGAGAGAGACAGAGAACATATCCATGAGAGTGCAAGTTGCCTTTTCGTTCTCCAGTACCACCTGGTTCTACATAGCTTAAGTGCCAGATGGTTTCTATTGTAGTACGTGTGTGTGTGAGTGTGTGTGTGTGTGTGTGTGTGTGTGTGTGTGTGTGTGTGTGTGTG